AACAAGTCATTTAACTTCTCCCCCCCCCCCGCCCCACACCTCTCCAAAGCAATTTATAAACAGTAAGCATGCAACTATGGCCCTATACAGCTACAACGGTCCTTTATGTTTTATATGCATAGATACATGAAGGAAGCTGTTTTGGCCAGTCATAGTATAACTTCCATTTGAACAGAACATTACTGACCATCTAATTCAGCGGCTATTCTCCTATTTTAAAACAACAGTAGTAGCAAAGTACCTGAAGGGAACATGGTCCCAACATTCCTGGAGAACAGCACAAAATTTGGCTTGTTATAGCCTTGGGCAGGCACTACTGCTTGGAGAGTCAACTCATATCCAGTTAACCTTCCTTAAGAAGGTAACCCATGGCAGACCCTTCTACAGGTTGGCCATCCAACTATCAACTCCAAGCCCCAGATTACTAAAAGGCCAACAACAAAGCAAAACACAGCGATAAAACACCCTTCATGAACAGCATCACTGATCCTGAGAGGTTTCGGACACAGGGGAAACCTACGCTGGAAGGAAAAGCAGGGGAGATTGAAGAGCTATAACAAAAATGAAAAAATAGGCAGGAAATGCACTGAGGGGAGCAGGGAGAGAATGAATTAAAGACCCACACAGCACAATGATGAATGACCAGAATATGTATCCTGATAAGCTTGACCCTGTATCATTGTAACTCAAGATAGTTTCCATATCACAATTGAACTGTTAGGAGGAAGGCAAGAAAAAAAATTAATTGACTTTTGTGAAAGTGGCCAATTTTAGCAGACTGCAATTGTTTCTGGGATGTAAATCTAGTTGTCTCTGCAGATAACACAGAAAACAATTACTCATGCAGAGAACATTTTTAAACACCTATCTTGGCATGATAGGCCCTCAAGAATAGTTTATTGAATTGATTCTCAGTGGTGAGAGGAGCTAATTATTTCCATCAGGTATCTATAGGATAATAAACCAACTCTTTACTTAGTAATAAGCTTTAGAAATTGAAGCAGGCATTAAAATTGCATGTTTCATTCAGTTTCATTCCAGGACCTTGATAGAAAGATTATTCTGACATCAGAGTTATTAGAGCAAAACTGGCCTATTTATAACCGTTGTGTAAAGATATTTGGAGGCTGACTTCCACTTAAGGAAAGCTTGCCTTGGCTTCTACAAAACAGGTAGACATATACACAACAGAAAGTCTACCACGTGCTTCCTAGGTCAGCTCCTCTATGAGACCATTAAAGTGAAGGACAGCTGTGCAGGACCCACACAAGAGCCAGAGTTCAGCTCTCAAAAGCTGCTCAAGAAATTTCATCACACCAGTGGGATGTGTAGTATATAACAAACAGAAATCTTTCTTGTTCAACACTTACCTTAAGGCTTTAAGGATTCTGCCAGCATATGCAGGTTTGATATGAGACATCCTCTTCAGATATCCCATTTATCACATGATCACACATGGAGATATCTTTTCCAAATGCTTATGTTGTAGCTTTACTAGTGGCAAGGGGGAAGGATGAGAACACAAAAAAAAACCCCACAACCATACACAGGTAAAGCACCAAAACGACAGGCAGACAGTCAGGCTTCATGCCTTAGAGCCTGACAGCAATGCAGGTAACACTTGAAGTCTCTGCAGCAGCTACCACCACTGCTGGTGCTATATGACAATCACATCACCATTCCCCATCAGGAGCTCTAGAGTGGCCCGGGATTTGTACAAAGCAATAAGGAATCAGAAGCATTGACCATTTCTTCATAACTCTGGGAAAGCTAACTACAGCTAGATTTGCGGATAAGAACTTTTGACCATTTCTGCAGTTCTTAATCAAAAACATAATATAACTGCTTCACCTCAGCCTCCTCAGGTTCCTTTAGTTACCTTTCCAGAATACTTACTAGTTTTGCCCCCATAAAACTGTGGGAAAATTCAACAGTTTCTAGCAATGTAGATGGTTAGGAGTGGATTACCCAGATTTACATTCTCTTAGACACAACAGTGGCTTTTAGGGTCATCCACAGAGCTTAACCATTCACAAAGGAGCTGTTGAGCCACTTCACTGAGGAAAACAACAGCTCATACCATAGCCAAACAACATTAGAGATGGGCAAATGTAGCATAAGAAATAACTTGTTCCTTTTCACAGCAAAAATCTGGGCCGTGGAGCTCCTAGTCTGAGGTTTTCTGTACATGGGAATCCCTTGTCAAAAAACAAAGTTATGAAAGCATCTGAAAAAAAAATAGATTAAATAAGGAGACAGAGTTGCTTCAGATTCTTTGACTGATGCAAAAACCTTGGACCTACAAATGCACCTTCTTTTTCCAGCACCAACTTCTTGCATGAGTAAGAGCAAGTTGTAGGGGAAGGTGGGAACATAGGAGGAAACACCTGAAAATAGTTAAGAGATCTCTACCAACCAATCCAATCAGAGGCAAGAAAAGGAGTCCTGGGAAGAAGTTTCTGCTCACCTTCCTAGAAAGTGTTTCCACTGGTCTTTATGTTCCTATGTAAGGCAATTATCAAAATAATTCCTAGATAATTTTACAGAATTTAATCTAGGAAATATTCTTTAAAGTCACTCGTAATTTTAGATTCCATTGCCTTGCTGAACCCAGGTCTCAGTGAGCTTACAAATTTCAAATCCAATTTAAATAAAGATTAAGATTTTGAAGATTCTGTGAAATGCACCTAGCACTCTTAGTGTGCCTTTTCAATATTCAGAATGTTTATTCATCATCAGAAAGAGATAGGACACAATGATTAAGAGAGCTTTATTTATATGGGGTAAGAGGAGTTGTTGTTGGAAGCATATGTTTAAGCGACTGCACATTCTTGCAGGTCTAGTATAGCTCATTGTTTATCTTGGTTTTAAATGAGGGAAGTTTTCCCATTAGATGTCCAAATTTGGAGTTATGGTGGCAGAGCAGAAGATGAGGTTTAATAAAGATCACATTTCAGTGTAATTAGAGAGATGGAGAGCAAAGGAAAAAATACGCTACTAAAAAAACTATCCCCTAATATGCATCTAGTCATGCATATAAACATGCTTTTAATTTGTAACACGATAGCATTTTATCAGCTGTTTCATCAGTTGTGAAATTTAATAAGAGCTATGTAGCTTTAGGCAGAATCTGTTTTGTTTTGCCTAGATTACTGAGCCAAACACAATGCATAGAATTTCAAATCAATGTGGTGTTCATGTGCTAACATTTTCTACGGTTCATATACTATAATTTTCTCTGGTTAATGAGTACTTTTGTATGGACTTTTCTCACAGAATGGTTGAGGTTGGAAGAGACCTCTAGAGATCATCTAGTCCAACCCTCTGCTCCAGCAGGGATACCCAGAGCACAGAGTGGCATCCAGGCGGGTTTGGAAGATCTCCAGAGAAGGAGCCTCCACAGCCTCCTGGGCAGCCTGTTCCAGGGCTCTGTCACCCTCACAGAGAAGAAGTTCTTCCTCACAGGCAGATGGAACTGCCTGTGTTTGAACTTATATACATTGCCCCTTGTCCTATCACTGGCCACCACCGTGAAGAGTTTGGCTCCTTCCTCCCTACAGGATCACTGTGCAGTTTTAATCACTGTATGGTTATTACAGTCTAATATTAAATATTTTTGTAGCAATTATGTACACCGTATTGTTTTCAAACAGCCCAAAAAATGCTTGCTACGTTTTACTATCTTTCCTCACACTTCAGTAGGTATATGAAAACTGATGCAGCTTTCCTCCTGTAAAATACCTCATGTCACCTTTTATCAGCATTTGCACGATGCTTCTCGTGTGGCTCAGGTGTCACAGAAGGACAGTGAACATTATCAAACTGCTGTCACCTTGTATGAACTCGTCCTTTGGTGTCTCATCACCAGTTAGGAAAGGGGTGCAAAAGCACATATGTTCTTGATTCAATAAAAGCAACAAACTTAAAATTAAGTGAAGTTTTTGGTTTTTGGTTTGGTTTTCACATGATTGTTCATTTCCTCTTACTGGCTAGGATCTGTCAGGATCCTACCCAGAAGCCACTGAAGTTACTTGTAGTCCAATGGGCCAGTGAGAAAGCAGCTTCACAGCCAATTTTATGAAAACAGACGGCTGAATAGACCAGAACCATTACAAGTGGCTTTACAATAAAAACAAAAACAATAAGAAAGAATCTTAACCAAGATTCTACACCTAACCAGCTTTCTTCTGTTTCACACACCCACTTTAGTATCACCAAGCCATTCAGACACTCAAAACCTGTGATATGCTAGAGGTTTGTCAGAGATCCTCCTATGCTTCTCTTTCTCAAGGAAACTGAGGACCAAGAAATCTTCTGTTGCACCAGAAGATCATTCTGCCATAGGTTATCAGGCATCCACAGGGCAGTGTCTTCAGAGAGCTGTGGAAGCATCTGAGCTTCACAGGTGAGCAACACTATTACGCATTCACACAACTTTCAACTCCATTTCAGAAATGTATCCTGACATTTTACAATCTCTATTCTACAAGAAATGATAAAAATCAAAACTTATTTTTCACTTGCAATTTTAAGACATTCCTCTGTATAAGTCATTATTCAGTAGAATGTGGCAAACAGAAGAGCAGGTACGAACAGATCCAGTTTCTAGAGCTGATGTTGCAGACTAATGAGTATCTGCACATAATTGGCAAGTCTTTCTCATCTCTTACGCAAGATACAGCTGAAAAGGGCTATTCTTGGTTAGACATTAGTTAGAGGAGAAACTTGCCTGGAAACCTAAACAGCTCTAGAAATAGATGCTGGTAAAGCAGTGTTTTTAACTGATCAGTATAAAAATAGTAGCCCAGCTATAGTATAGTAAATATAGTTAGTAAATATAGTAAAGAGCACAAAGCTAGCTGGGAACCATGAAATTGCAGTCCAGCATAATAACTGCCAGAGAGGTCAGCGAACAACTCCCACATTGTCACATTGTTAGCTCTGACTCCATAACCTATTTTAAAACATCATCTGAACACATTGCACCAGTAATATTGCTGTTAAAACCACAGAGAGCAAGTTTATTGCCAGGGGAATGGGGTGGGGAAAAGGAACTGAGAAGACAACATAAGGCTGATTGGAGCCCCACTGTACTTGTGGATTAACTCCAGTGACTTCCGAGTAATTGCACAAGGTTGCTAAAATTAGAATCTTGCCCACAGCACCAAGTAAATTAGAAATGCAGAGACACAGATGAAAAGAGAGCTGGGAACCATGAGCAGCAAAACACTGTCCCCATGAAGCCTGATCACCTCTGCTGTGCCGCTGCCAAGGAAAAGGAATTGGGAGAAAGTGCTCCACTCTCCAGGAACCTGTGAGGGAGGGTGCAGGAGTTACCTTTTGGAAAAAAAAAAAAAAAAAAAAAAAAAACCACTGGGTAGTGGAGAGAGTGGAGAGCTCAGGAAAAACGTTCAAAACGGAGGCAGCGAGTTTGCCTGCCGGGCAGGGTTTTGCAGGATCTCATCGTTCTATTTATAACACCACATGCCATGTTACATTACATCACACCACGGGAGATGCACACCACATGTGCAACAAAATGCATTAGAAACACTGTAGGTTCTCACCAGAATAATGCCCACAGTTTGCAGGAGCAGCTCAGAGCAACGTTATCCAGGAAGAGTATAAAATTCCTCGGCAACCTATGGCGCGTTCTCCACATCCTGCCACTTCAGCACTTGAAAATCCACAGCACCACCAAGGAGTCCCAAGCTCTCATTTCCTCCATTAGTATTGTTTACAGTTTATGTTCAGCATCTTTCCTGCATTTAGTAGCACTTTAGTGTCTTATAACTAATCCAGAACTGGTTTGGGCATCTTATTTCAATGCAGCTGAAAAGTATAGGGCAAGGAGATGAAGACATGGTTGAGGAGATGGGGTGAAAATGCCATGTCTTCGTAAGTGGAGGAACCCAAGATTGCAATAGGTCTATCCCTCTGCTGCATCCAAGCAGAAATATGTGCCAACTCCTTTGAGGCTAAGTCCACGTAAATACGGATAGCCTATCACAACTGTCATTTATGCCCTTAACCAAAAAGCTAATAATAATAATAATCATTTAGTAAAAATAAATATTTCAAAGTGATTAGTTTGTTTGGAGGTGATAAATGAAATCCATAATAAATGAGTATTATCAAGTTATTTTAAGAAAAAAAGAAAATAGTATGCAAGCTTGCAATTAACTGAAGATTTCCGCCCAAACACGCACACACAGAGTGGGACTGCAAGAGTAGAACTGCTGAGGGTTGCCCCAAAATTCCAAATGCTTAACTTTGTACCCCTGCTAGTATTTCCTTACTGCAGGATTTGGGGGGGATTTTTTTTTCTTTTTATAGTAGCATGTCAGAAATCTTCCTGGAATGGGTCTCCAATTCACTTAGAGGTGGATAAAAAGAGGATTTTTTTTTTCATGAAATTAACAAATGGGACAATAAGGTTACTAATAGTGTGGCAGATAGGAAGAATTTTAAAAACAAAAAGCAAAGAAGCCAAGAGTTCTATGAGGAAAACAAAATTTGAGATGCTCTGGAGAAAAAAGCATCAGTGTTTCACTTTGACGGATTCTGAACATGCGGCATTATCTGTATTTACCTTGGTCAGTCAAGTAGCCAACCGTCAGATTCCGTTTTCATCGCATATTTAGTTAGCTGTTTGAGAAGGCTGTGGTTTAGTCAGGGTTTGTTCATTCCAAGCATAAAAGGATCTCATCTCTCCACTTCAGAGAACAGGATTACATATGCTGGGCAATTTGTGGTGCTTCAAAGACACATCAGTATCTTTACTGCAGTAGTTCAGTCTCCAAATTTCTGAGTTGCAGTCCTAGATAATTTTTGCTATGAATCTGTATTACAGAAAAATAAATAGTGCCTCAGATTGCAGAGCAAATGCAAGTTTGTATTTTTCACTTAAATCAACTAAAGCTTATTCTGCATGATGCACTAACACATATCTAAAGACAATAAATGGTGTTCCCACAACAAGAGAGACACAATCATAACAGCTTTCGTTAGGGAATGCCCTGGCTCACTGCCCATCGCCTGGACATTTCCACCACATTCCCCACAAGAAGAATTCACTGAGGTAGAAGGCCCTCAAGGAAGTGAGGATCTATTGCTTGGTAAAGCAACGGGGAATTTCCACAATAATGGAAATTCAGAGAAATGTATCAGGTCAAGACTGATAATCTCTTTATCATTTTCTCTAATTTCTTTAGTATTTTAGAAGGTGGCAAGAGAAATCCAGGAGGACACTTAAAGCTAGTCCTTAGGGCTATATGTCCCTTTTTCTTTATACACCAAATGCTACAGACACCTGGTACCACAGCAAATCTCATGCAGGAGTCCAAACTACAACTTGTGCCAGCACCCACATCAGCATGCAAACCTGAACTGAAATTTATTTTAGAAAAAGCATCAAACCTGTAGCTTCCAGACACACATGAAGGAGATGGCATTGCTGTCGGCAGCATTTGCAGATCTGGAGCCTGTGCTGTGTCAATATGGATTGATGGACATGGATGGACGTGAGCAGAATTCAATACTTCCTTCCCCGCTCCCAATTTCCAGTGTCAGAGGTACATGTTTTGCACTGTACAAGCATACCAGACAGAGCACGGGTCAGAAGGAAGAGCTGTGCCCAGCCAGACTTCCCATCCCTCCAGCTCTCACTGCACTCTGACTCCTCTTCGCCCGAGTAGGGGTGAAACAGGGTCCTGCAGACAGTGCTGAGCATCCCCGACCTCCTTCCTACAGACTGACCCACTGTCACCGTAACTCACTGCTAAAGTTTGTGACCAGCTGCTGACACTAATGGTATCCAAAGTCTATTGCTCTGCCTGCAGACCTAAGTTGCCTGAATGACAGCAAAATGGACAGTTCATCTATAAGGTATTGGGTGTCCTTTCATTCAAGGAAAATGTGTGTGAAAAAAAATATATATTTTTAACCTTTCTTACAACAACACTGAACATGCAACTTTTAGGTTAGGTCTCACAGGGTGTGAATCCACACATCACAGCAGCTTTCTGCAGTTTCCTACCCCAATTTTCTTTTAGGGTGCAACTCTGGCAAGTGGCAGGCACTGCTATGGTCTAAAGTAACAGCTTACCTCAACCACACATGGGCAAGCTATTTCAGGCATATTACTACAGTTGGAAATGCTTCTGCACTTCATACTTCACTCATTTAGACAGAATTGCTTCTGAAGCATAATAAAATGGCATACCTAAAATACATATTCTGAGTCTCCCAAGCTCCCTTTCTTTTCTCATCTGCTCTCTGCCAGGCACCTGGGGCATTCCTCCTACATTCTCTCTCCTCCCTCTGGCGCTTTCAGGGGAGTTAAACAGGAATTTTTCTTTAGGCCCTAATCATCAAATTCACACTCAACTCTGGTACCTCTGATAGTTGGTACTGCTTCTTTCATCCCCATCCTTCACATACTGACTGGAAAGCTGGCAAATATATGCATAGATGCATAGTGCATCTTTCCAAACAGAGGAGAAAAATAACAGGCACAGTCTCTAGAAGAGTTCACTGACACAAGTCACAAGCCAGACTGAAGAACTGCAAGGTCCCTTGTGCAAGGACTCTTGGAAGGCATCCGCCTGCTAGGAAAGTCTGCAGAAGAACATACACATTTGCATTCAGGTCTGTTCCATATGACAGGAGACTAACAAAACCCTTGCTGAAGTCAGTTTTGCCTGAGCTCTAATCCCCAAATCTGAGGGGCAATATTAAAGCCCTAGAATTTGACAGGGAACAGAAGTTTCCAGGATGCTTAAATCATCAGTGGAAGTCTTAGAGTTGTGCTGACTGTGTCATATTTTATTAACAGAGATCATTGAATTACTATTATTTTGATGGAAATCCAGCTTCCTAATGTTTTATACATGTGAAGATTCGCATTTGTATCAGGCGGCTATAAGTGACAGGGCGTCACTTCTTTGGAGATCTTCCAAACCTGCCTAGATGTCACCTTATGCCCCATGCTCTAGGTGTCCCTGGTTGAGCAGGGGGGCTGGACTAGATGATTTCTAGAGGATCCTTTGAACCTCAACCATTTTGTGAATCTGTCACAAACATGGAAGAGTGAAAGGATCAGTCCAAGTTTCACATATTTCCACAGTATCCTAAAACAGATTAAGAACAGTTCTTGTTCAACAGACTGTGCTTAGCTACTTCCATCAACTACAAATTAAAGTGAACCTTTATGTTATTTTTATTAACATGGAAAATTTTAATGGAACCAACTGTTTGGGGAGAAGTATTGAGACATGTGGAATTTTAAGTTTTTCCAGCTATCAGACGTATCTGGAGAAAAACTACACTGAATTGTCACGTAGTTCTCTTGTGCTACTCAGTGAATAAGGTACGACAAGGTAAGAGAATGGGTTATCTGAGTTGCTGTGAGGCAACGGTCACAGCTCTGTCCAAGGCAGTAATTTTTCCAGCCGCTCCTACACACATAACTCTCACTTTCAAAACAGTTTCTTTTTAACAACCTTCTGATAACCGTGGCTTCTTCTCACGTATGATACGGTCAGCGTAGAGCAAGCCTTGGCCATGCAGCAGGAACACCATCCCTGTGAAGAGCGAGCTAATGGAGAGCTTCTCCAGGCACGCAGCGGGATATTCTGCCTCCGGTCAGAGCGGAATGCGGCCAGAGACAAAAAGGCAGTGAACTGTAGGGAGCAGTGACTAACAGCAAGCTGAAGTCGAGCTAGAATGTATTTCGCATGACTAAGTACCACTTCAATAGGAAAAACAAACCTTTATACAGAACCACCAAAAAAATGTTGGTCTCTGGTATAATACAAGTGCTATTACAGAATATGAGGGCTCCAGTGTGACAATGGAAAGGAACATGGGCCCTGTTTTGGGGTCCAGCAGAGTTACCACTACTTGACAAGCTCCTATCTATCAGCAAGCTTGCCTGCAGTTTGCCACACACAAGATACATACATATGCCTATTTTTACACACACATATATAAAATCACACATCCATAAAGCTTGAACTTTTTAATTGAAGCTGATACTTCTTAATTCCTGCTTGCAAGAGGCAGTAAATGTGCACATGCTTGGCTACCGAGCTTCACCTGACAGATGGCAGCCTTACACAGCAGCAATTCAACTGACATCTGAGCCAGTGTTAGGGGAAGCGAGTTACACTGACAGATCACAGGTCATGTAGAAACATCCATAGGCAAAGAATCAAACAAGTTCCTTACATCTTAAATCATTATTCTATGTGGTCTCAGCTTTTCTCATTTTAAAGGCACCTTTTAAACAATTATCACACTGTTATCTTTTATTTTATTACTCCAGTGTTGCATACTTTACTGAACCAGTGTTTCCAAGATTGTTCTTCTGGGCAGCAGCTGCTGTTTTCCTAGCCAACAGTAGAGCTTAGGGTCTCTTAAAAGCTTAAGTGCTTATTGATATGTTAAGTTATAGCAGCCTAGTATTTTTCAGTAGTCCTTCATGATCTAAATATTCCATAAGCTTGTTATCTATCAAAATACACTATCACAATTACATTAGATCATTCTCCAAATTCTCCATACATCAAGACCATTTCATTACTTTCAGATCATTTAATTTCAGTGTATTTGCTTTAGATTTAATACTGCTCTAAATATAAATACTAGATGAACACTTGTCCACTACTACAGACTGTATTTAAGACTCAAAACCTCCTTTCTATGACAAAATCCTGATCCACCATGACACCACAGCAAGTCCTGTTCAGAAGGTCACTTCAGTCAGTCATCAATCAAGCAGATATTTTACTATGAGACTGCACAGGTTTCACATAGGTTTGACTTTTAATTAGACTATGAAGGGCCTTAGTAGCATAGTGGTTATGACTACAAATTTTTTGTTCGGTGATCAGACCTTAACAAATGCATAAGGCAAAATTCCCAGACCCCAAAGGAAAGCGAGATTAGAAAAAGTGCTTTGAAGAGCTCGGCAAGGAAAACTCAAAAGCACCTTGAAGTAATTTTGTCTGTCAGAGAACTGACTATAGGGTGAATAATAGCCATACTGTATTTAGGTATTATTTGCTGAATATAACTCTAGGGCTCTATTTAAGGCATTCAGACAGAAAGTGAGTGCTGACAGTAAGGAGTAATAACTCAAATGGGCCATCTGGCCACCAGTGCAACAGATACTACACGTAGCATTGCAAAACCTGAAAACATTTCATTATAGGACAGACACCTCAGCCATCGCCCAGACTAAGAATTTGCTTCAAACTCTACTTAAGCAAGCCTGCCCACATGCACAGAGGCTGTCCTGGCCAGCAGCTGCCCTCATTCAAGTCCCTTTCTATGCTACTGAGGCTAATGAGGAGGTCAAAGAAAACATAATCCTTTTGAGGACATCCTCAAAACCATGTCCTTTACGGAATCCACTGTTTTGAGTGCCTTTCCACTATAATGACAGTTATGTAAAAGCACAGGGCATACGTGCCCTGCTACACTGAAACTTAAATACAGATTTTCTCTTCACTTCTTTCCATCTCTGATGTCTAGCAAGAAAATGTCAATCTCCAGTGCAAGTCCTGCAGAACTAACATTCGCCACAAAATGCCTTCTAGACTATACAAAGCACTAGACAGAGCATGCACTTAGGTTTAGAGGTCAATTGGGTTGGTGTTGGCTTTGCCTTTTGAGGATGCTGCAAGAGAAAAAGTTGTTTCCACTTTTTTTTTTTTTTTTTTAAATAGGGGGAGTGGAAGGGGAAATGATAAAAGCCCAATGTTTTCTGTTGGGTCACACAATAAGGCATTGAGCACTATGCATGGGCACACACAGAACAGTAAAAGGAGCCTGGAGAAGTCCTAGTACCAAATTGCCAAGTAAGGAGATGAAGACAAACTCCTTTTGGTTCAGCACCAAATCAGTTTACACCAACAGGTGCTTTTTATTTCCTCTCTTGTGCCTAACAAACACACCAGATCACTGCTCCTGGCCTCACTGTACTGCCGATAGGCTCTTTGAGAAGACAGGACTTGTGTTTTAATGGCTCCTCCTGTGTCCTTTCAGACTGGGAGTAGAGGAGATGAACAAGGTGCTTCTAGTAGGATCCAGGGAGGACTGTGGAGCTTGTCTCCCCACCAGAAGCACGGCAAGGAATAGCAGCAGAATATTACACAGAATTTATACATTAGCATTCACTTTCCACTTCAGGAATCAGTGTAAACCTCACTGTTTACTGATAAAAGCATGGGCTGGAATTAGAGGGTCACTAACCTGCACTGTTTCCAGACTCCTGCAAGTCAATGGCTAAACTGACACCTTGCAAATTATTTTTAGCCAATGGGAAAAGTGTTCTAAATACCTTTGAGATATCATGTGCTGAAGTTCCCAGAATTCTTGCTCATAGTTTCTTTTATCTATCATCACTGTTGTTCCTCTACATGGTTCAATCTCCCTGGACGCTCTTCATATTCCATATTTAAACTCCAAGCTTTCATTCCTCTATCAATTTTTATTTTATTTCAGATTTACACCTCTTCCTGTCCAATTCTGATATGTGATGCATTAGCTTGGTTGGAAACTTCTGCAAGTTCTCCAAGATCA